ACAGAAGAACGCACCTCATTGCAACAGCCCGATGTTCAGCCTCACCGGTGAAATTAATTGTTACGAGCAACGACGAATAACGTTTCGCCGTTCGCACGAAACTCGTGGGAGAAGAATTGCCAACATACGACGAAACGTCAACTGACGCGACAGTCGTCGATACATCACCGATAAGTCGTAACACGCCCGCACCGTTTGTCCACAACGATATATATATTTCTCCCTCTCTCTTTTTTTTTTCAAACGCGGGAAACCTCCATGAAGCGCACACATGCTCGAACGTAAACAGAAAATAATTACTCGCTTACGTAAGCGGTGACTGAGTAAACGTTTCCCGCGAGAGCGTCTAGAAAAACGAACCGATACATTGTTCTGGAAATAAAAGAAAAATGGTCAACATCGCAGGAACCGTTAACGCGTTGATGACTGTCCTTTAAATTCAGCGTATTGCGTATATCATTTATTTTATTTCGTACTATCACTCAGTAGTGCATTTACATCGTTACCCAGAGGCTAACAAATTTTCGGTTGCATTCACCGTCTTCCAACCGTGTTTTAAACTCAAGTGTAACAGTAAGCGGTAACCATCAGCAGGAATCAACGTGTTAACATATTAACACGTTGAATGCCATGGGGGTCACTGATGACCACCAACCTAATCGAATTATTATAGTTGATTTAATTAAACAATGATTATTTGAAAACATTTCTATATAATAAGTAATGCCACCTAATGCGGTGCCATTCAGCTATATCAACGTGCAATAATAATAATGCAATTCAAACAAATGATTTAATGTTATATGTTTTCCATTTGGTGCTTTTTGTTCTATGAAATCGTGCGGAATTCAATGTGTTAATCTAAGATGTTGCTTCGAATATCGTTCATACAGCTGCCGACCGATACGTCGTGAACAGGTATTCCAAGATTGGACACCGATGACCGATATAAGTAGATTGGGGTATAATTGTTAATGTCGGTCACCGATAAAACCAAAAATTAACACGTTGGATGTCACACGATTTTAAGGTGTAAAATATGCGAAATGAAAAAAATACAATATTACATTATTTAATTGAATTACGTTGTTATTATCGCAGGTTTATTTTCCTGAATGTCTCCGTATTAGGTAGCGTTGTTTACAATATAGTAATGTTTTCAAATATTCATCGTTTAATTGAGAGAATTACATTAACGTGTTAACATACAGTTCAGCGTGTTAATCGGACCAGTAGCAAGAAATGCGGCGACGGGAGGCAAGCAGAAAGAAAAATCTGTCCACTAGAATCCTCTACTTACACGTCCAGCAAGATAACAGTTTGCACCGGCTTCATGTTTGCGCGCAACGTAAATACTACGGGCCGCGGAGCTCGTGGTAAGTAGGCAAGGGAAAAGGAGGAAGACGGAAAGAGAGACCGAAGGCAGCTGCAAACTGAAGACAAGGGGGAGCGAGAGAGAGAACGAGAGAAAGAGGGGGAGAGAAAGAGAGAGAGAGAGAGAGAGAGAGAGAGAGAG